CAATGTTTCTAGTGAAGGAGTTGATGAAATTTTGACGAACTGTGTTTGTTGATTTTCAAGAATTTTGTGTCCCATCCAAAAGTGATTGACTAGTTCACGAGAGATTCGTGAACTTTTTTTTCCGTGTAGAAAAGTTATTAGATAGAAATGTCACTAGATAGAATTTTTTTCGTTGTATAAGTTTCCTTTCTATGTTATACTCAATCATAGTCTCTATTTACCATTTGTCGAGACGCATGCATATCCCCTAATCGACAAGTCGTCGAATGATCAAATATTTGAATGCCAAGTAATCGAATGGACAAAACGTCGAATGCTAAAAACATCGAATCGGCATTTAGTCGAATGCTTAAAACATCGAATTGTCAATACGTCGAATGTTCAAAACATCGAATGATAAAAACGTCGAATGCTAAAAACATCGAATCGTCTTGTAGTCGCGAATGCTAAAAATATCGAATCTTCAGTTAATCGAATGCTAAAAACATCGAATTCTCAATTCGTCGAATGTTCAAAACGTCGAATGTTTATAACGTCGAATGCTAAAAACGTCAAATGTTCAAAACGTCGAATCGTCATTTAGTCGAATTGTAAAACCATCGAATAGTCCATTCGTCGAATGCTTAAATAGTCGAAAAGCCATCTGTTCGAATTATCAAGTAGTAGAATGGTAAAGTTGTCGAATGTTCAAAACGTCGAATCGTCATCTGTTCGAATTGCCAAGTAGTAGAATGGTAAAGTAGTCGAATGGACAAAAAGTCGAAACGCCATCTGTTCGAATTATCAAGTAGTAGAATGGTAAAGTAGTCGAATGTTCAAAACGTCGAATGCTCAGAACATCGAACTGTTAATTCATTGAATGCTCAAAACGTCGAATGATAAAAACGTCGAATGCTAAAAACATCGAATCGTCAAAAGTTCGAAAAAGTTCTTTGTCTTAAGTTAATGTCTACTGAAAACAAAGAACTTTTTCGAACTTTTGACGATTCGATGTTTTTAGCATTCGACGTTTTTATCATTCGACGTTTTGAGCATTCGACGAATTAACAGTTCGATGTTCTGAGCATTCGACGTTTTGAACATTCGACTACTTTACCATTCTACTACTTGGCAATTCGAACAGATGGCGTTTCGACTACTTTACCATTCGACTACTTGACATTTTGAACAGATGGCGTTTCGACTATTTGAGCATTCGACGATTTGAGAATTCGATGTTTTTAGCATTCGACGTTTTGATCATTCGACGTTTCGAACATTCGACGAATGGAAAATTCGATGATTTAAGCATTCGATGAATTAACAATTCGATGTTTTGAGCATTCGACAAATTGATAATTCAACGTTATGAACATTCGACATGTTGACGATTCGACGTTTTTAGCATTCGACGTTTTGAACATTCGACGAATTGAGAATTCGATGTTTTTAGCATTCGACTAAATGACGATTCGATGTTTTGAACATTCGACAACTTTACCATTCTACTACTTGATAATTCGAACAGATGGCGTTACGACTATTTAAGCATTCGACGAATGGACTATTCGATGGTTTTACCATTCGACTAAATGACGATTCGACGTTTTGAGCATTCGACGTTTTTAGCATTCGACGTTTTAAACATTCGACGTTTTGAACATTCGACGAATTGAGAATTCGATGTTTTTAGCATTCGATTAACTGAAGATTCGATATTTTTAGCATTCGACTACATGACGATTCGATGTTTTTAGCATTCGACGTTTTTATCATTCGACTTTTTGAACATTCGACGTATTGACAATTCGATATTTTTAACATTCGACGAAATGATAATTCGACGTATTGACAATTCGATGTTTTAAGCATTCGACTAAATTTTGATTCGACGTTTTGTCCATTCGATTACTTGGCATTCGACTATTTGATCATTCGACGACTTGGCGATTAGGGGATATGCATGCTTCTCGTTTATACTTATGTCCACACAAAAAGTCTTTGCCCCTCAGAATTTGTTAACTTTGCAAGCTTATAACTCTTTTAAAAAAATTTTTTTAATTTTGGAATAAACAGTTAATAAAGCGTAGTTTATCTGTGCAAATAAGTATATGCTATTCTTAAATGGAAAAAATTTTGTTCCTAATTTGTAATCAAATATGTATAAAAATGTCCCTTAAAAATGATACTTTATAAAATGTATGTACTTTCACTAGTCCCTGTGATGTTATTAACAATGGAAAAAATTTACAAAACTTATAGCAGATTTGTTAATAATTAACCTTTATATAGAAGTTTAAAAAATCCTAAAATTATGTTAATTATCGTTGTAATGAGCATTTTTATGCTAATGTGCTATCTGGCTTTAAAATGAGGATACAGCTTTGCGACAAATTGTAAAATATCCAGTACAACATTCAAAAATATTTAAGCTAATAAGTTGTTAATTAATAATTTAAATTTTTAAGAAAAACGGCATTTTTTGGATTGAATATTGAATTGAAAAAAATGTCAGAAAAAATTTAGTGCCACTTGCTGCTCGAAAACATGGCTCACCAGCAAACTATACCTGGGCTTTGGGAGTCAGGGATGTATAATGGAATATTGCAGTAGGTGAAGCCCCTTTAATATAAAAATATTTACGACAATTCTGATTTTCCATGACACATCCCTGAGTTTAAAGGCCTTACAAAGGTTTGGTCTTGAAATTGACCGTAAGAAACTCTCCGGTCGGCAAGTTGCACTTGTCTATGCGACCCTTTTTTCTATGTTTTTTTTACTAAAAGTGAAATCGACACCTCATTAAAAAGTTAAAATTTTCTAAAGGGATAAAGAGCACAATTTAAATTGCATTCAGATACAAGTCTTCAAATTTTGTTTAATTTTCTAAAATATACATTTTACAATTCATCGCAAAGCTGTATCTTTATTCTGAAGCCAGATAGCACATTAGCATAAAAATGCTCATTACAACGTTAATTAATATAATTTTAGGATTTTTTAACCTTCTTTATAAAGGTTAATTATTAACACATCTGCTATACGTTTTGTAAATTTTTTCCATTGTTAATAACATCACAGGGACTAGTAAAAGTACATACATTTTATAAAGTATCATTTTTAAGGGACATTTTTATACATATTTGATTACAAATTAGGAACAAAATTTTTTCCATTTAGGAATAGCATATATTTATTTGCACAGATAAACTACGCTTTCTTAACTGTTTATTCCAAAATTAAAAAAAATTTTTTAAAAGAGTTATAAGCTTGCAAAGTTAACAAATTCTGAGGGGCAAAGACTTTTTGTGCGGACATTAGGAAGGCATTTTTGAAACCTACTGTACAATGAAGCATTGGCCACCGCCTGTTGAGAGAGTCGATTTCGATGGATCGACTCGATATATCGATGTTTTGCGATTCGAGATACCGGTTTTTTAAACTAAAAAAAACTCTAAACACTGTAATAATTAAAGTTGTCAATTTTTACAAACTTTTACATTTATGCTAAATATTTTATACACTAGTTTTTATTATTTATATAATTTAATTAAAATATAAAAATTAAATTAGGAATTACTTTTTAATAAAAGCTGAATTATTTATTGTATCTTATATTATTTACATATACACATAATTATGTGTATATGTAAATAATATAAGATACAATAAGTAATACACATTATTATGGGTATATCTAAATAATATAAGATACAACAAATAATTCAGCTTTTATTAAAAATAATTCCTAATTTAATTTTTATATTTTAATTAAATTATATTAATAATAAAAACTAGTGTATAAAATATTTAGCATAAATGTAAAAGTTTGTAAAAATTAGTTAACTAATAATTTATAATAAAAATAATATATACTGCTTATTTAATTATAAAATATTATTATTTTTATTTAATTATAAATATAAAAATTACATTATTTTTAATAATATAATTACGGTATTTATTGTATATAATATACTTATATATAGCTAATAATGTATTTATTTATAATTAAAAAGATATTGTTTATTTATTAAAAAGTTGGAAGCAATGAATTCTATCAAATTGCCCGAGTAGATTGGGCACACGATCTGTATAATGAAGAAACGTTTATTCCAGCAGATTGTAAGCCTGCTTGGTCCTCTAACATTCGGCTGGCAAAAGTGCTGTGTTATAGCAGGCACACGGTCCGGCGCCCGCTACGTGCCGGGCGTGCCAGACACAATATTGTTATCTGGGTATATATAGTTATTGTCTTAAAATAAAACGCAGTGACAGTTATGTTTCGCGTCGTGTAAATTTCATTGTAATTTCAGTGCTAAACTATTAAAAATAAATATTAAAACTAGTGAAAATATGGTTAAAAAACGCAAAGTGCTTACGATAAAATATAAAATGATACTGAAAAGAATTTTCATGTGTTCAATGCTTTCTAGTGGAATCTTGAGTGGTAGTGAGTCAATTCAGTGGAATAGAAATTTCTACTGATTTGCTGTAGATTCTGATTCTTTTGAATGCGCGTTTCATATTTTTGTGAAGTCAATTCAGAATAATAGATTCTTTTGAAATTTTGGTGGTTCCCGTGGAATAGAGCTCCGAGGTAAATTCGCCTATTAAGAAGAATACAACTTTTTAATTCTTTTCAATTCTACGCTTTTTACCGGGTAACCATTCTATCAATTGACTTTCCTATAAAATGACTTTTCTATCAAATGACTTTTCTATCAAATAACCATTCTATCAAATGACTTTTCTATTATTTGACTTTTCTATCAATTGACCTTTCTATCAAATTACTTTTCTATCAATTGACTTTTCTATAAAATGACTTTTCTATAAAATGACTTTTATATCAAATGACCATTCTATCAAATGCCTTTCTATCCAATGGCTAGTTGATCAAATGTCTTATGGGATGAATTCCTGCGCCTCGCACCAGAACTTTTTCCGTATCATGACATGGATAAAGCCCATTTATACATATATAGTCCTGGAGAAATATAAATTCTAAAACTAATCTATAATGTTGCACAGTATTACATAATATTTTTTATTTATCAAAATATAGGAGGTCTCACAATTTTCAAGGATAATTTTTAATTAAATCTAACAATAAAATCTAAATATATGTCATTTTTTAACTACATGTGACAGAGAAAATACTACTAGCAGAAAACTAGGTTTTAATAATATGGACCGTTGGTTGCGACAGACTTTATTTCTTCAAAATTATAGAAGGACATGCTGTTTTGACCAAATCCTAGAACACTGTACGATGAGAATTTTTCCATCCATGTTCTGTCATCTTTTATTTTTAATAAATAAGACGATATCTTCTTAACCAAGGTTTCTGAAATAATAATAATAATATCTAATAATTTTATTTATGGAATTTAACCTTAATCTATACGCTCAAAAAAGATATGAGACACTGGTATTAGCTTATAATCGCGCGCTCGTGCAACTATTTAATTAAAAATGATAGTAAATTAGGTTTATGCTTCAATGGGACTTATGCAAAAAAAATTTATGTAAACTGAACATTGCAAAAGATTAAGATATCAATACTTGAAAATTCTAGTTAATGAATTTTATTTTAAGTAAGATTTATGGTAAATGAGATTATAAGAAATTAAACTTATGTCCAGTGAAATTTATATTACATTTTAATTATGTCATGTAAGGATTTTAATAAATTATACTTCCGGGTCAAATCTTTTTTATGATAGATATTTGATAAATAAATGATCATGGGAAGGTAAATAATTGAATAAGAAATCCAATGTGTTTCGTCAGTAATGCGACGTTTCGTTGGCTAAGGTTTGCCAACCTCATCAGGCTAAATTTATTAAAAACAGAAAAGGCACTTTAATATTTATAAAGGTTTTCTAAAAAACACTATTTTTCACTAAAGTAATTAACAACGAATAATATCAATTATTTACCTTCCCATGATCATTTATTTATCAAATATCAATTAAACCATGGAAGGATTTAAATCTACTCAATTATCTTTTTTATGATAGTTGACATTTATATTACGTGTCACAATAATTATTAAATTATTTTTATGTCAAATAAAGCTGTTAGTTTAAGAACATATTTTTCATGATCGTATACGTCTTTAGAAATTGTTTGATAAAGCACATGTTCTTTAACTTCAATTTTTTTCTTGTTAGTAGCAAAAAAACTTGAATTTTTCAATTCAAATGAATTGTATAATATACCTGGCATATCCTTATGAACCATTATGCGGTACGGCGCTAATGGACCTAAGCTTGTAAGTATTGAAAGTCTTTCCATTCCTGGTAGATAATTTCTGTGGTATTTTATTACTGGAGATTCTAAAATACCAACTTCTACTTGTTTACTAGCAATCATGTGAAGTGCTGCTAACTGGGAATTTACATCTGTAAATTCAATATTTATTTAGATTTAATTCTTCTACAATCCATGATAAAATTTTGGAAATTAAATTCTACCTAAATTGCTTCCAAAAAATGATGGACCTTCTCCTTTAGATTTGAGGTGATTGAATAATATATTTGTTGCTTCTACGAAATTACTTCTATCTGGTAAAACACATCGACAACCACGTAAATCCAGTAAAGTCTAAAAAAACAGTACTTATATTATTACACTATGTTATTCTAGCATAGAAAACGCGGTCGTCCAATGTAGCATCTGTCAATGTTTTATGTTTACCAATTTGATTCGGAATTATATCGTTAACCTCAAAGTTTTATTTATAATAAAAAACAACCGAGTAAAAGAGTCAGAAAATTAAAATTTACAGAATTAAAGCAGAATTATTATTTAAACAATTTATAAACAAATCATTATTGTTATTTACTAAATTTATACAGAATTATTATTTTTCTTGGTTATCACTTGGTCACTATTTAAGATAGGTGATTAATGATCAATCAATCCTCCTAAGAGCAACGGATATTCAAGGATATCCTACCTTATTGGATAATGTGATTAGATATCCTATCCTAATCACATCTGGAAATTTAAATATTCTTAGGATCAGGACCGTGGAGATCCGGGATGGGCTACGGGAAAATTAACATAGGCAGGCCCCATAGTAGAATTATAAAAACATAAATTATTCTCTTTCAATAAAAATCGGACTTTATTTGAATTATTTCAGACATTACATTTTCATTAAAACTTTTTTATTCAAACATTTTAATTAACAAATTTAATCCCTTGCTAAAAGTATACAAAAAAACTTCAATAATTTTCAATTCACTTATAGTGAAGGAGAATAAAATGAAAACATTCGGACAAATAGTTTTTAAAAATTAGTTTACTCCAACGTTTTGAAATCTAACTGATTTCCTCTTCAGGAAGTCTATAAAAATTTAAAATAATATACAAAAAAATAGGAAATAATATACAAATAGTATATTAAGCAACAAGAGGAGAAAGGCAGCCATTTCTTTACGATGATTTTTGTGACACGAGTGGAGGTCTCGGGGCGCCCTCGACCTCCACTCGTGTCACAAAAATCATCGTAAAGAAATTGGCTGCCTTTATTCTCGTGTTACTTACGATATTTTTTATTCCTAATGCACAAAAGCGGCGATTTCAGTTAGCAGACGACAGGGAGTAAAAGTCGTTCACTTGTTCGATTTGTATGAAAATGGCGGCCGTCTTCTCCCTTGGGCAAGAAAAATGCATGTGAACAGCTAATTTTCTTGCCCTTGGGAGAACACGGCCGCCATTTTCATACGATCGAAGAAATGAATGACTTTCCTCCCTGTCGACTGCTATCAGAAAGCGCCGTTTTTGTGCATGTGGGATAAAAAAAATATAAAAATAATATACAAATAATATACAAAAAATATACAAAAAATATAAATTAATATACAAAAAATTAAAAATAATATACACTACCGTCCACGAGTATCAGGACTATTACACGCAACTCTATGAAAAAATATGTCATCAATTTTTTTCCTACCGGGTACGGAACCCTATTAAAACGGTTACGGAAAATGACTATATACCCTTCCCCCCTGGCGCCCACAGTTATTTACCTAGAGAGCTGGAAATTGGCATACTTATGTATTTTTACGCGTAGATTACTGGAAAAATATAGCAGAAGTGTTTAGAATTGATCTTCAAGGTGTTTTCATCGAAAATCTCTTTTTGCAAGCTCGAAAATACTTTAACCCTTGCTGGTTCTCACAATTCTTAATCTAGTGGACTGACGTTATACATTTTTATTTATTTTTTCGTGTAGATTTCTACCAACATAAAGAACAAATTATTGGAGTTGATCTTCATATTTTTTTTGCGAAAAACTAGAAATTTTTCTTGATTCAGAAAAAAAAGTGTATACCCTTCCCTTGGTTTTCACAATTCTTGGCCTAGTAAACTGCAATTTTGCTTATTTCACCGTCCTACAAAATTTAACTTTCCATTTCACACACAAAAAAATCAAACATTTTCGGAAACTAGGACCAAAAAAAAAATACCCGTGTCTGGCCGTTTTGTTGGATCAAATCGTTTGTGGCATCTAGGGGTGAAAACAACCCTTAAATGAAAAGTGCCAAGTTATATTTTAAAAATAGATTCAATTTGCCTAAAACTCGTTACTCGGGGGTTTTTGGGGTCGCTGATCACGAATACGGTGTCATTTTTTCAAAATTCAATATGGCGGATCTAATATGGCGGCTGTCAAAATAAAAAATTGATCAGATTCGCTTAACAATTATCACTCGGGGGTTTTTGGGGTCGCTGATCACGAATCCAATGTCAGTTTCTTAAAATTCAAAATGATGGATCCAATATGGCTGTCAATATTTTTAAAAATAGATTCAATTTCCCTGAAACTTGTTACTCGGGGGGTTTTTGGGATCGCTGATTACAAATCTTAAGTAAGATTTTCAAAATTCAAAATGTAGGATCCAAATGCAGATTACAGGTCTAGAATGAAACTGGAAGATTTAATTGTGTGATTCTTTTTTGTTTTTTGACATTTTGAATTTTTAAAATCTGACTTAAGATACGTAATCAACGACCCCAAAAAACTCCTGAGTAACGAGTTTCAGGGAAATTGAATCTATTCTTAAAAAAGTTGTCAATTATATTGGATCCGCCATTTTGAATTCTGAAAAACTGACATCAGATTTGTAATCAGCGACTCCAAAAACCCCCAAGTAACAAGTTTCAAGCGAATCCGATCAATTTTTTTTAACAGCCGTCATATTGGATCCGCCATTTTGAATTTTGACAAACTGACATCGTATTCGTGATCAGCGACCCCAAAAATTTCCGAGTAACGAGTTTTAGGCAAATTGAATCTATTTTTATAATATAACTTGGAACTTTTCATTTAAGGGTTGTTTTCACCCCTAGAAGCCGCACAAACGACTTGATCCAGCAAAACGGCCAGACACGGGTATTTTTTTTGGTCCTTGTTTCCGAAAATGTTTGATTTTTTTGTGTGTGAAAAATCGTGTCGGACGGTGTTTTATGTGTTTTCATGTGTAGATTTCAGGAAAAATATAGCGAACATGATTGGATTTGATCTTCATATTTTCTTCAGCGAAAAACTCAAAGTTTTTAAAAATTTTGTCAAAAAAGCATGCATTTTACTCTAGCGCTCACAGTTTTTTACCTAGAGAGCTCAAAATTGGTACACTTATGTATTTTCACAAGTAGATTACAGAAAAAAATAGCGGAAATGATTAAAATTGATCTTCATTGTGTTTTAAGCGACACAATTCTTAATCTAGTAGACTGGCATTGGGACCATTCAAGTATTACGTAAGCATTTAAGGGGGAAAATTTAGCACTTACTTATCATTTAAAAAAAATTAAACAATTTCATTCAACTGAATTTATGGAATAACTAAAATAATTTAATCTCCGAAGCCTTTGAAACATGTTTCCAAGAGGACTTCTGTAAGAAAACTAAATTTTTACTCTCTAAATCTGATTTAATAATAATTTTACTAACAAATAGTGAAATTTTACTATTATAAACGTCTAAACGTCTTACTTTTAGACGCCATTTTTTGCAGTGTGTTATGTACTTTACGAAGCAAAATTAAAATAATAATAAATAGTAGGTAACTATTATAATTCTAAAAAAATTCTAATGCTTAACCCTTTGCGGCATATTAACACTCCTGAGTGTCACCTTTTTTTCTCCACTTTTTTACTTTTTTCAAGCACTGATTCATTTGTTTCAATGACAAAAAGCATACTGCATGTATCAGGGACCATTCCTTACTATAAAAAAAATGAAAAATAAATTTTTTGTTGATAAAATAATTGTTATAAATAAATAAACGTAAAAAAAGCAGTTTTTTACAATAAATGTAATTGTGTCTAACCAACAATATGAAATACTTTGACGATCATATCTAGACAGTTTTTAGGGTCGCTGATTACGAATCTGGGGTCAATTTTTAAAAATTCAAAATGGCTTATCCAATATGCCGGACTTATTTTTTAAAATTGCTCAAGTTTACATGAAACTTGTTACTCAGGGGTTTTTTGGGGGGCTGATTACGAATATGAAGTCAGATTTTCAAAATTCAAAATGGGGGATCCAATATGGCGGACTTATTGTTTTTAAATTGGTCAAATTAATTTTGAATTTGTTACTCGGGGGTTTTTGGGGTCGCTGATTACGAATATGAAGTCAAATTTTCAAAATTCGAAATTTATATATTATATTATTATATACTATATTATATATAAATATAATATATATAATATATACATTTCAAATTTTGAAAATCTATCTTCATATTCGTAATCAGGGACCTAAAAACCCCCGAGTAACAAATTTCAAGCGAATTTGACCAATTTAAAAAAGTAAGTCCGCCATATTGGATCCGCCATTTTGAATTTTGAAAATCTGACTTCATATTCGTAATCAGGGTCCCAAAAAACCCCCGAGTAACACATTTCAAGCGAATTTGAATAATTAAAAAAAATAAGTCCGCCATATTGGTTCCGCCATTTTGAATTTTGAAAATATGAGAAATCCTACTTTAGATTCTTAATCAGCGACCCTGAAAACCCCCTAAAGTGTGCTTGGTTATTAAATACATTGACTAGAAAAATGTATGCTTCAAAGGGTTAAACGAGACTGCTTCTTTTGTGTGTCTGTTTCATAAAATTTACAAACCTCGACATAAGGGGCTCGATCAGTAGCTACAACAACATCTGCATAAATTTGCGGTGAAAATTCTTTATTTAGTCTATGTTCAAAGACAAAAGTGGTAGGTAGAAGAACACCATCTTTCCAATCACCAGCAGCAGGTAAAATTGCTGAAACGTTGAAATTTTTTATTATTAAAAACTTCTAATAGTATGTAGCAATAAGGTAAATGACCCATTCGCTGCACAGTTAAGGTTAAATAATAATATTTTTTATTTTTGAAAATATAAAATTATTAGTGAAGTGGTAATAAATATATAGTTTTGAAAAATAAGATATTACAGTTTCGAATTTAAAAAACATTTTTATCAATTTAATGCTTCAAAAAACATATAAAAGAATAAAGTCATTTATCCCAGTGTAAATAAATAATGTTTTGTAAGAACATTAACCCGTTGACTGTCGCTGACGCATATATGCGCAAACTAAGACTGGTCAAAAGTGTTCATGACGCATATATATATATATATATATATATATATGTGCAACTTAAAAAAGGTGATTAAAAACTTCTTAACTGTTCCTGAAACCGGTTACTCGGGGGTTTTCGAGGTCGCTGATTACGAATATGACATTCGTTTTCCAAAATTCAAAATCGCGGATCCAACATGGCGGACGACAAAATAAAAAAATTGATTGGATTGACTTGAAACGTAATACCCGTGGGTTTTTGAAGTCGCTGATTACGAATCTGACATTAGTTTTTCAAAATTTAAAATGGCGGATCCAATATGGCGGACAACAAAATAAAAAAAAATGATTAGATTGACTTGAAACTGAATACTTGGAGGTTTTTGAGGTTGCTGATTACAAATCTGACATTAGTTTTCCAAAATTCAAAATGGCGGATCCAATATGGCGGACAACAAAATAAAAAATTGATCAGATTGACCCCCGAGTAACTAGTTTCAAGCAAATTCGACGAATTTTGAAAAAGTTTTCGCCATTTTGGATCCGCCATTTTGAATTTAGAAAAATTGATCTCAGATTCGTAATCAGCGACTCCAAAAACCTTAGGGTACTTATTTATTAAAATTTTTTTCAACACACTTTTGGCCCAAACATTGGAAATCTCCTTGACAGCCAACACGGAAAAAAATTAATCTCTAAACTTGAAATAATATTAATTTGAAGTCCAATGAAATATAAGTGTATCTAAATTAAACATTATAGTTACAATTACTGTGATAAGTTGTGTTTGATTCTGTCAAACTTTATACCAGAAAACGCCATAAATTCACATCTCTGATTTAGAGATTTGTTAATTTCACAACTTTTTTTATATGAATTAGGTACATTGTGTTTTAAGTTAATCAGTGACAAAAAAGATTTAAACCATTTTAATTAATTAAGTATTAATTTTATTTTCAAATATCCAAATAAAAGCGAAGGTCTGTGAAGGAAGGTCTGTGAAATTTTAAGGTTACAATTGTCGCCCGACAAAATACGGCACTGACTGATTTAAATGACGTGAAATAGGTAAATAAACATTTTTCAACCACTTTTTCTCTAAACACAGACACTTTTTACAAAATAGGCCAACATACAATGGGTAAGAATCTTCTTAATAACCTAAATTCAAAAGATTGTTTAAATTCATGCAGAAACGCGGTTGTCAAGCGGTTGTAAAATGTAAAATTGGAAATGATTGGAAAGTAATGTAATGACAGACAACAAGAAGCGGATTACTGCCAGTCGCCAGAAGAGGGCAGAAGCATGCAGAGAGCACAATGGTCCAGCTGTTATATTCTTAGCATTACATCACTTTCCAATTTTACATTTTACAACCGCGTTTCTGCATGAATTTAAACCATCTTTTGAATTTAGGTAATTAAGAAGATTCCTACTCGTTCTATGTTGGCCTATTTTGTAAAAAGTGTCTGTGTTTAGAGAAAAAGTGGTTGAAAAATGTTTATTTACCTATTTCACGTCATTTAAATCAGTCAGTGTCGTATTTTATCGGGCGATAATTGTAACCTACAAATTTTACAGACCTTCCAACGCCGTTAAAACAAAAAAATGAAATAAAAATATAACATTCGTATTGTGTTTTAAAAATATCCAACTACTTTTTTATACTTGTCAATGTATATATAGTTCATACAGGGAAAACAATATAAATATTTTGTGAATAATTCTCAGTCTAAATTGTGGTAAATTATAAATTCTTATTACATCGAGTTATTAAAAAAATAAGAATTATGTAAATATACGACTAAAATTTTTAATATTGTTTATTCAAATAATATATTAGATTTGAATTTATTCAAGTAAGTTGATAGTTTAGAACATATGTTCCATGTCATAAAATTTGAGATTCCTAATATCATTTTTAGGCATAAAAAATACGTGTTCTTCACAATACTAATATTCGGATTAGATATAATACCAAATTTCAGTTTTAGTGATCTGCTTACATCTTACGTCCGATTCCAGTGATAGTTTATGCCTAAATCTCAGATTTAATCTCTAATTTAGAGATTAATTTTTTTCCGTGAAGGGGTTGAAAGTTCATATTTTTGATAAATTTATTACTTAACGTGCACACACTGTTACACGTACAGCCACTGGATCATTTACTTTATTCAAGACGTAAGAAATAGTTCTTTTGAATTTTTTTAAACCCCTCGTGGACGAGAAAATTCCCATAAAAAATTGTCTCTAAAATAGTATAAGTAGTATAAAGTGTAGGTATAATGAAACGATTCGTTATTTAACCCTTACGTGCTCGAGTTAGATTTTTGGACTACGCGACCAAGATGAGCCTAACAAACCCAGATATTTAAACGCAATACAAAAAAAATTTATAAAATGTGTTTAATAATTTCAATCATATATCCCTATTGAAAATCCCCATATAGGAAACCACATGGGATCCTATGTCAAAAACCATGTAAAACCCTACTTCCATGAAGGAAACCACGTGGTTTACCATGTGGTTTCCCATGTCAAACCATATGGGAAATTGAGACAGGATTTTAGTTAGGAATAGACATGGGAAATTTGAACAGTTCATCTATGCATAAAACCATATCAAATCCCACATGTTTTTCCCAGTTAAATCCTAAACCGAATCCCATGTGAAAAACAGTATCATTTATTTATAATTATTTTCCCATGTCAAATCCTAAACCAAATCCCATGTGAAAAACATTATCCGCCTTATTGAATATCCCTACATGGGAATCCACTTGGAATTTTACAAGGGATTTCACATAGGATTTTATATGGGAATTGACATAGGATTTCATGCAAGATTTCACCTAGGATTTAATATGAGATATCACATAGTATTTTATTAAAGATCCAATGAAGAAATTTTCAAAGGATTAAAAATTATTTAATAAAAAATTAAATAATAAATAGTATTAGTGTTACAAGTCATCAAAAAAGTAAAAAAAACGATCATTTGAAACACGTCCTCTCTGCTACAGGTTCTCAGCTTTTATATACTTCCAGAGTCGTCTCAACAGCGAGAGAAGTCACTTTCGCCACCTAGCGGTGAAAGTATAGGAGCGACAGTAATCTTTATCATTACTAAGGAAACCATGTGGAATACCACGTAGGATTCCATGTGGTTTCCTACGTGAGGATTTACATGGGATTTTACTTAGGAATTCATTTGGGAATTTATTTCTACTTAAATTCCTAAGTAAAATCCCATGTAAATCCCCACGTAGGAAACCACATGGAATCCTACGTGGTATTCCACATGGTTTCCTTAGTAATGATAAAAATTACTGTCGCTCCTATACTTTTACCGCTAGGTGGCGAAAGTGACTTCTCTCGCTGTTGAGACGACTCTGGAAGTATATAAAAGCTGAGAACCTGTAGCAGAGAGGACGTGTTTCAAATGATCGTTTTTTTACTTTTTTGATGACTTGTAACACTAATACTATTTATTATTTAATTTTTTATTAAATAATTTTTAATCCTTTGGAAATTTCTTCATTGGATCTTTAATAAAATACTATGTGATATCTCATTAAATCCTAGGTGAAATCTTGCATGAAATCCTATGTCAATTCCCATATAAAATCCTATGTGAAATCCCTTGTAAAATTCCAAGTGGATTCCCATGTAGGGATATTCAATAAGGCGGATAATGTTTTTCACATGGGATTTGGTTTAGGATTTGACATGGGAAAATAATTATAAATAAATGATACTGTTTTTCACTTGGGGATTGACTTGGGAAAATAATTATAAATAAATGATACTGTTTTTCACATGGGATTCGGTTTAGGATTTGACTGGGAAAAACATGTGGGATTTGATATGGTTTTATGCATAGATGAACTGTTCAAATTTCCCATGTCTATTCCTAACTAAAATCCTGTCTCAATTTCCCATATGGTTTGACATGGGAAACCACATGGTAAACCACGTGGTTTCCTTCATGGAAGTAGGGTTTTACATGGTTTTTGACATAGGATCCCATGTGGTTTCCCATATGGGGATTTTCAATAGGGATCATTCTATGAATATAGTTTTATGAAGTATTATAAAGTAATCGACATAAAGTAATGTTTCATAAAATATTTAATATATTAAGAAGTTTTGAAACTCTTTTGTAAAAAAACAAAGACTACATATTTTTTATCTTAAGATTCCTTTACACTGCTATTAACTAAAGTCATTTATACAAACTTTAAGTGTATATTCATAAAATAAAATAATTCTATAAGCTATGTTCCATAAATCATAATTTGTAGATGCAGAAAAGGAATAAAAATTAATTTATAAAAAGACATTGTCTTTGATTTGTTGCTTACCAATGTCAACAACTTCTTTGGCAACAGGTCTGTTATTACGAGATTCATACAAAAGCACTACAGGTTTACCAGTGGCAGCTTCAAGGGTTTCTGATAAAATTTCAAAGAGACCTATTGGCAAAGAAGGTACTAAATGAATAGCCATTACTAAAGGTCGAGCTTCCAGAACAGATACTGGCAAGATTGAACGTATCTCACACCTCGCTAAATTAAAGAATCCTTGTGGTTTCTGTAACACAGAAAACGAGGGTAAATCATGCAAATATTTTTACAAAAAGTATTTGTTCTAAAAACTATTTTTAAAGGTTTTTTTTAACTAGGCATATTTCTATTTTAAAGAGTTTTTTTAAAGTAAGATGCGTTGGTAAGGAACAAATATATGTGTATAAAGAAAATTACTATACATCATTAAAGGGTTAAATAGCACATCTTATCACAATATTGCAATTTTAGCAATACTGCTACTAAAAATTGACTCAATATTGTAAATAGATATGTTGATATTTGGGATCAATATTTAATTATGCAGTCCGAACTCTGAAATGTGTAAACTATATTACTATTTTTTATTAAATAATCTCTTTACTGCGACAGACCAAAGGTGGGAATCGTTAATCTAAATGTTAACTTCGTTAATGGATAATCTGTTAATTTAAAGAGTTAATAATTTGTTTTGTTGATCGGAAGAAAATTTTAGTCATATTTATCATTTAATAAGTCAGTTTATTTTAAAAATTTGTAATTGCAAAATAAAATTATTAAGTACTATAAGTCAAAACGGAAAACAACATCAATTTCTTTGAATATTAAAGAGTTAACTTCGTTAATAGTTTTTCCGATAATTTCAAGAAAAACTAACGGAAGTTAGGTTCGTTAAAGTTGAATGTTCCGTAGAAGAAATTTGTAATTACTTTATAATGCTTCCAAAAACTGTTCATGTGCATGAATAAGAATCCGAAAAAGTAACATTTTAAAATTACAAATATCTTTTATATAAAATAATACTTTTCTAAGAAATTTTTGCTTTTCGTCATAAATCTATTATGGAACATAATGCATCTCTTATTATTTCTCATAAATAGTCCAACTCATGTGTTGGACAAACCTTGAATATTTAAGGGTAAACTCTGAGAAGAGATACAGGATGCGTTCCTTTTGCGGAAACTTCCTGCTAGGAAGGTTGCAGGAGGGCAACAACGCTTTGGAGGTACCAAGAATTGTCTTGGACAAAGTAGATAGACGAGAAAGTACGAGCAGTGTAACAAGTCAAGCCATCTGCATTTCTGTCTTCAGTAATGCTTCTGCGATTAACATTGCTAGTTGTAACGAAGATCAAGATGAATGCATTAAGCTGCGGGAAAAAAGGCAGCAAGCATTCTGAAAATAAAAAAAGAGGTCAGCAAGATGCTGAAGTCCTGCGAAATCCAGAAGAATGTCAATATGACAATCAAGGATGAACTCAAAAGGTTAACATCGCTCATAAAGGATGTCAAGGAGAAGCAGCGGCGAGAATTATGAGAAGTTCGGGGATTAACTTGGTCGGAAGAAGCACGGCAAGACCGAAGAATAAGATTTGACCGTTTTAACGCAGCAATGCTAAAAAACGTTGTCTTGGTGAGTCACAAGCGAAAGAGAAGTGGTTCTGAGCTTGCGCAGGGCATAAAGCGGAAGAAGGAGGAGGGACCTCCTAAACAAACTGAAGGCAATGGTACCAAAACGGCACTAAAGATGAATTCAACCAAGAAAGGAAGACAGCCACAACAATGACCGTCAAAGTGACTGAGGGAACATGCTGAAGAAAGATCGTGAAGAGGCTTACGTAGAGACCAGTCAGACAAGGGTCATAGGAGCTTTTCCTACTAAAAAGGGAAATCTCCTTATTAACATTAGAGGGACTTCAAATAAGGCGTCTTTCATCGAGGAGGTGAAAAAGGTAATTAAAGCTTTAGGTAAGGTGCAAATGGGGGACCGGCAAACTACGGTGGAAATTCGCGATGTAGATGCCCTTACAGAAAAGGAGTAAAGTGGTCACCAACCAAGAAGACGCTGACAACTTGGAGAAAATTGGGCACGAGAAGATTGGTTTCGTGTCCTGCAAGGTCAGAAAAAAGTGTTATGGTCACAAGGACCCATAGGTGCCTTGACTACAGCCATATAGGTCGAAACTGTTAAGCAGTAGATAGATGGATAGATAGTGCGACGACAAAGTTGACGTCAGGCAGCGGTTGATGCGAAGTCTTCAGATCAGCCCTTGAGGAGGCCAAAAAGACTCTAGCTAAATCGAAAAATAAATAGTCCAGAAGAAGATCGGCATGAAAGGGTTGCACGAGCAAGAAACTGGGACCTTCACCCCACAAAGTTTAAAGCCAATAGGTAGTTTCGTGGGTTGAAAAATAGTCCAGATTAAGGCAGGAGTTGTTATTAGTGGGTCGACCAGAACAAAAGAGGTCATTCCCAAATAACCTGGCAATCATTATCCAGGTATCTGAATTCACAGATTTCCCACTTCTGACTATAAACAAAAAAAATCTTGCATAATTGAAGAGTTAAAAATTATAATCCCTCTACACAAATCTCATGAAAAATAAGCTTCCATTTCAACAAAAACTGAAAAATATTACTTTATGAAGAAGTACACTTTATACTGTTCAAAATATTTTTTTTGAAAAAAATACAAATTACATGACAGTGAAAAAATATTCTGATAGTTTTATTTTCTTCTTGAGCGTGGCTCAAAAAATGTTCTCATGAAAGAAGAGGAAATTTTCTTCCATTAATAGTAATATTCTTAAATCAAACATAAATTTTTTTGGGATTTTTTTAAGTGGAATTAATAGTATATTAAGCAACAAGGGGATAAAGGCAGCCATTTCTTCACTGTGATTTTTGTGATTATATTTATTTAATTAGAAACGTTTCATTCAGTGCATCAAAATAGTTTTTTTATTCAGCATGCACAAAAATAGCGCTTTCTGATAGCTGAAGAAAGTCTGAAATCGACATTTTTGTGCATTAGGAATAAAAAATATCGTAAGTAACACGGGAATAAATGCAGACAATTTGTTTACGATGATTTTTGTGACACGAGTGGAGGTCTCGGGGCAAAGTGTAAGGTGTCCAGGCTTAAAAGACAAATTTTCCGAAAGTTTGTCGCAAGTAACAAACGTTTCTCTTGTTGGAAGCTTGCTCTGAAAAGCTTGCAAGAATTTAGTCATTTGCACAAGTTTGTAATGCAAGTCAGGAAAAAATGACCAACTTGAAAGAACTTAACACAATGTGCATTTAAATTCTATGACATCTAAGTGCATTTTTATCTCTGATCACAGTGGGCCAAAAACCACGGCCTTGGACAAAACAACTTAGAGGCCGCAATTTTTAACCAAATTTAACAAAAAATTTTTTAATTAAAGCTAATTAAATTGCGCATCGATTCATCAAGGCCGATTTTTTAATAAATAATATCTGACATTTTTTATTTGTTAATAAAATTTTTTTTTTTAAAAATTGTTCAAACAACAAGGGCTAATTTTTGTAAAATTCACTATGTTTATTATTAATCTAACTTAATTAATTAAGAAACTTCTCCTGAACATTTTCCAAAAATAGAAAGTTAATTAAAAAATTTTTCTTATTGTTACAAACAATTTAATGCAGAAAAACTTTTTTATGCACATTTTTTATAATTTATTGTTTGCAAGTAATATTTATTTCTTACAAAGTATATTTAATGAGAAAACTTATTAAAATACTAAAAATTAATAATAATTTGATATTATTTATTAACTTTTGTCATAAAAAATATAAAAAATTATAAATATATAATTTTTTATGACCAATTGAAGCTTCTCTGCTGTTAAACAGTATTAGAATAAGTTAGCTTTTATTTAGTTATAAAGAAGAATAATTTAAAATTCACAACCTTATTGTTCAAATAATATATTAATTAACAAATGGATAACTTTGTTAATTTGTCACATAAAGTACTCATTCCTTTCACAAAATAATTCTAGAAGAATCCGCTTAAAGTTATTGTTTCGTGAAACAACTTTAAAATATTATTAATTGTTTATAAATAATCATAACTAATAAATACCAGATATTATTCATTTCTTTCATAATGAGTTTTTTCAAAACTATTTCCATGAAATTAAAAATCAATTTAATCTGATATTAGTGAAATACTTCTATATGTAGTTATTTAGTAACAATCATTGTTACTAAATTAATTTATTTAATAAATACTATATAATTATATTTACAGATGATGAAGCACTCGCGTTGTTTATTGATTTAAAATAATTTAAAAATAAATATGAGCTCTTGCGAAAAAAATTGAAGGACAAAATGATCGATGTTCTTTTTCCATATAAAAATATCACAAATGCTAAAACGAATTGTTATCCTCAAAGTTCTGCAATAAAAATAAATGAAAAGGGTGCTACAATTAGGCTTCAAGCCTTATTGGATCATACAGCTGAAAGAATCCTCAGTATAAAATAAGTCTGTAGTAATAAGAGCACACAAAATCTGAAATTAATAGTTAAATATGGTTGTGATGGCACTTCTGGATTAGATCCTTATAAATATACACCCGAATGTAGTGAAACGTCTTCTCTAAATTCAAGCAGTTCATTTTAAAAAAGAGACAAAGGAAAAAATTTTGAATGAGCTTAGAGATATTAAACAACAAATTAAAAGATTGAAAAAAGGGAAAATTAAAATTAATAACGTTGTTTACAATGTTGATTATGAACTAATGTGCACTATTGTGGATAGCAAGGTTTGTCAAGTGATCACAGAAACTGCTTCTTTGTGAAATTGTACAATTTGCGGAGCGAAACCCACGGAAATGAATAACTTGCAAAAATTACAAGAAAAATTTGAGAATGAGGATGCATTCCAATATGGATTGCAAACTTTGCACGCCTGCACGGAGAAAAAAATCAGGGCTTTTTAGCATGGAGTGGTCTATAGGTTTAGGCGCTTGGGCGCTTCCTTGCGGCGAAAGAACGAATTTGTACGATTGCAGCAAGAGCTCGCCCTATTTTAGTAAGGAGCCTTGCTGCAATCGTACGAGTTCGTTCTTTCGCCGTAAGGAAGCGTCCATGCGCTAAAGCTATAGACCACTCCATGCTACAAAGCCCTGATTTTTTTCTCCGTGTGTATACGTTCGATGGAGTGTGTTTTACATATCGCCTACAAATTACCAATTCGTCAATGGAAGCAAACTACGGCAGAACAAAAGGCACTGTGTCAAGAGAGGAAACACTCCATTCAAAAAGAGATTCCAGAACATCTAGGAATTATCATCGATGTTGTAAAACAAGGCAGTGGATCGACAAATGACGGAAACACTGCAAGAAAATTTTTTGCAAATTATGAAATAATAGCAGAAATAACCGGAATTAACAATCAATTATTAAAAAATATGTACACAATTTTACAAGTTATGGCATGTGGAAAAGCAATTGACGTAACTAAATTTGAAAAGCTCTGTGATGACACTTTTGCAATTTACGTAAAATATTACAATTGGTATTATATGCCAGTCTCATTGCATAAGATTTTAAAGCATGGGGCTGCTGTAATAAATTCCTTTGTTATTCCTATTGGACAATTGTCTGAAGAGGATCAAGAAGCTAGAAACAAAGACATCAAACGATGCAGAGAAAACAACACTCAAAAAACATCATTTAAAGATATGTTAGAAGACATAATCCACTATTTACTTGTTTCTGCTGATTCCTATTTAAGTAGTTTCAGAACAGAATTCGAGAAGAAAGAAAGATTTTTAATTCCAGAAGCAAGTGAGTTATTGTTGTAAATTGATCATTGAGGTCTCTGAATCCCAATCTGTGATCGAAAATTCAAAATTTCGGCTTCAAATGGCGACCAATCTTAAAATACAAAAATATAAAAAAGTACAAAAAAATGGAGTCGTTGCTGCCACGTCCCCGTTCGTGACTCCAGATTAGACTGAGATCGGTGTTTAGAAAAGAAATTAAGTCAAATATGTATTAATTATAAATTGATAATAAATAAATTCGTCGTAAATTAAACTTTAATTATTATTTATTTATTTAATTCAATCAAAATTATTATTTATTATATTATCTCATATTATTATTTATTGTATTGTATAATTATATAGTAATTATTAAATAAATTAATTTAGTAACAATGATTGTTACTAAATAACTACATATAAAAGTATTTCACTAATATCAGATTAAATTGATTTTTAATTTCATGGAAATAGTTTTGCAAAAACTCATTATGAAAAATGAAATGAATAATATCTGGTACTTATTAGTTAAGATTATTTATAAACCATTAATAATATTTTAAAGTTGTTTTACGAAACAATAACTTAAAGCGGATTCTTCTAGAAACATTTTGTAAAAGGAATAAGCACTTTATGTGACAAATTAACAAAGTTATCCATTTGTTAATGAATATTATTTAAGCAATAAGGTTGTGAGTTTTAAATTATTCTTCTTTATAACGAAATAAAAGCTAACTTATTCTAATACTATGTAACAGCAGAGAAGCTTCAATTGGTTATAAAAAATTATATATTTATCATTTTTTTATATTTTTTATGACAAAAGTTAATAAATAATATCAAATTATTATTAATTTTTAGTATTTTAATAAGTTTTCTTATTATATATACTTTGTAGGAAATAAATATTACTTGGAAACAATAAAATTTAAAAAATTTGCATAAAAACGTATTTCTGCATTAAATTGTTTATAACAAATAAGAAAAATTTTTTAATTAACTTTCTATTTTTGGAAAATGTTCAGGATAAGTTTATAGGTAATATTAAAAAATTTTCCTAAAAGTTTAAACAAAATCGAACAATATTAACATGTGGCTCTAGGTATATGAAATTTTAAATGATATATATGTCGTAGGCCGATAGACAAACCAGGCCGTTAGCCAAAAGCCTAGAGGATTTGCTAATGGCCGGCCAGTAGATAAAATCAAATTCTTATATTCTTTTTACTTCTACTTGCCTAGAAATATCAGGCCGTTAGCTAATAGCCTGACAATATTTAAGCCATTAGAAAAAACACAGTTTTTAATCGTATAATTAAATGAAATGAAATGAATAATAATTCTTATTTTTACTAAATATTATTATTATTATTATTATGAAGATTGTTATGAAGTTCAGGTAGTGTTTTAGAAATATTTATACAGACTTTTAATAAAAAATTTTATTTTAATAAAGAAAATTTTATTAAAATAGTACTTATTTAAAATCATTTAATTCAGGAAATTTTTTGAAAATAATTGAATTTCAAAAAAAGAATTTTATTATTTATAAAGATAATTGAAAATTTGACAATAATTTTTAAAAAAATTTCAAAAGTAATTGAATTTTGAAGAAGAATTTTGCTATTTATAAAGATAATTGAAATCTTAATGAGGATTTAAAAAAAATTTTGAAAATAATTGAATTTTTGCGAAAAATGTTATTACTTTTGAAAATAATTGAATGTTCGTGTAGAATTTTATAAATATTTTTACAGATTTTTAATTAATAATTATTGTTTGGAATTAATTAATTATTTTTTCTTATAATAGTGGCAAAAGAATACATCCTTGCACATAGTTATAAAAAGAACTCTTTTCGAAGCTGTATTGGGACCTATGAAATGTTGCATACAAAATTCTTCTTTACCCGATGAGCTTTTAAATACATTGCACATTAAAGAAGAATTAACAAAGAGACTTAATAATATTCATTGCCATTGTGATAAAATAAAAATAGAATTTTGAACATTTGATTTATATGTAATTATTTTTTATAAGTAAACAACTCATTGGGCTACAGCTTGATTTTGTCTTCTGGTCTAAAAATGGTCAGGCCAGTAGACATCTAACAATTTTTTTGTCTAACGGCCTGATTTTATTTACTGGCCTACCATTACCCAGTGAGAAATTGCCAATAGACTTTAATCGGTCCAATATCGGTCCAATATTGGTTGCCGTGCTGGGGGCCGATTGACTCCCAATATTGGACCAATATGGGCTGATGCTTGGGATGTAACGGCATCGCCAATCATCGGTTGTCAATATTGGTCCAATATTGGCCGAATATTGGCAACCAAGAGAAAAAAAATTTTTTAAATAAATTTTTTTTAATTAAAGAATAATAATAAAAAATTAATGTTTATAATTTTTGTTTAATATATTTATTTGTTTAATTATTTATTTTTAATAATTCATGTAAATAATAAATAATTTATTATTTATAAATTATAATTATTTAAAAATGCAGCAGCTATTAGAAAATAGCATTCTGCAAAAAAATTCTATCATTGAAAAATCAATGATAGGCGAGAGAAATCCGCGTCTTTAAATAGATTCGCAGATGATAGACAAGAGATATCCGCGTCATTAAACGGATTCGCAGATATACTCTGGTCTCGCGACGAATCTCTCGATACTTATATACACTGGAGTCGCCGTGTCAGTTGCGAGAACGGTTACAGCGTCCCTCTTGCGGCAGAGATAAGAATTGTCACGTAAACTGCGGGTATAATAAGGCGGTCGGTAAAGCGATTTAGCAGTTTACGTGACAATTCTTATCTCTGCCGCAAGAGGGACGCTGTAACCGTTCTCGCAACTGACACGGCGACTCCAGTGTATATAAGTATCGAGAGATTCGTCGCGAGACCAGAGTATATCTGCGAATCCGTTTAATGACGCGGATATCTCTTGTCTATCATCTGCGAATCTATTTAAAGACGCGGATTTCTCTCGCCTATCATTGATTTTTCAATGATAGAATTTTTTTGCAGAATGCTATTTTCTAATAGCTGCTGCATTTTAAAATAATTATAATTTATAAATAATAAATTATTTATTATTTACATGAATTATTAAAAATAAATAATTAAACAAATAAATATATTAAACAAAAATTATAAACATTAATTTTTTATTATTATTATTTAATTAAAAAAAATTTATTTAAAAAAATTTTTTTCTCTTGGTTGCCAATATTCGGCCAATATTGGACCAATATTGACAACCGATGATTGGCGATGCCGTTACATCCCAAGCATCAGCCCATATTGGTCCAATATTGGGAGCCTTTATTGGACCGATGATCGGTCTCTTGGCTCCCAATATTGGACCGATATTGGACCGGTGAGAAATTTCTCACTGGGTAGCTACTCCCCTAGGCTTTTGGCCAACAGCCTGGTTTGTCTATCGGCCTACGACATATTCATGTAATTTTGCTTTTCTTCTTTCTTATCCATACAGACTAGAATCTCGTTAGTATGTTTTCAAAGTCTCGAATTATTAAATTTTTGTTAATAAATATGAGTATCCGTCCTGCGAATAAATCAATCGTCTACGAGGATGTTCACAGTGTAGTTTTCCATTCGCTCATAAGCCGTACTTTACTGTACTTTGCCCATCTTCTGTACTTTGATGAACTTTGCTGGATTTAGCCCAAACTTTTATTTCCACGCGGGTATGTTGCTTAATATACTATTAAAGACGTGCCAGACATATTTAAGGCGTCTCTTGGTAAAAAAGGATTTAAAGTCGTACCAGAGACATATTCAGGACGTCTCTTGGTCCGTCATAGAACCGGTACTAAAAAATTAAAGTTTTTCTGGACGTTTTATGATGTTTTCACACTCAACTTACTAAATTACCGGTTTTCAGAAATTAATTTTAATTTTTGGGGATGCATTTGAAACTTCTTGTATGCGAAAGTATCATTTTCACTTCCTGTACTACCTGTTATACATTGTCTTAAAGGTTCATGCATCTATATTCTTTTAGGCATCATGAAGTTTACAAAAAATTATTTATAATAAAGAATAATGTTAAAAAATAATTCCTTTAAAAACTTATAAAAATTCTTAAGCTTTCTCACAGAGTTTTCGAAGACTGATATTTTGTCAGATTTTTTGGCCTGAGTAGATGATGAAGATTCTGAAAATGTATTTTCAATCTGAATTTTTTTTGTAATGTTGTTTTTTGATAATAATGATGTTTGCTTAATCTCATCAGACACATTGGTTTTTAATATCACGTTCTTAACAGATGAACTCTCTCCCTGCTTTTGTTGACTGCCTATTTCCAAACCATCATTTTTAGATTTTGAAGATAATAAGATCTTAGACTTTACAAGCTTTTGAACATTTTTAATATCTTCTTCCATTACTGTCTGTAATAAAAAAACAATAACATATTAATATTGCAGAAATATTTAATATAAAGCAAAATAAATACGAGAAATTCGTATTGATACAAAAAATAAAATATATTACCGCGGTAATATATTTTTTTTATATATGTATATATATATTTTTTTTTTATATTCTAGAAATATTTTTAAAATATTATTTTTGAATTTTAATAAAATAAACAATTTTAAAATATTTAAAAAAAATTTATATCAAATAATTTTTTAAATATAAATTAGTAAAATTGTGAAAATTTGTGGAAAATTAAAAAAATTATTACAAAAATAATTTGTGAAAATCAGCTACTAAAGTTTTGTATACAGTTGAATCATATTGATTTATTTATCACAAAGAAGTGGAATCGTAACGATGATATAAAGTAAGCATAAAAATATAGACCAAAGGCCACAACAAATATCCTCCAATTATAAAAATATAGTATTTAAATTAAAATACTTCTTAACTTATGCGAGATCCGTTAAATAGAATTTGGTCTACTTCTCGATATCTCTCGTGGGGACTGAGGGGGCGAACCCTTCAAAATGGGTCGCCACTATAGAAACCGAATCTTCTGTGTTTCGCTGGGCAGTGTCCCAGGGCACGGGGATTTAGAGGGATATCGATAGAGACGGGATGGACAGAGGCTTAACCGCGGGTCCATTCCGAAGACTTCCTACTGGTGAAAATGTGACCAAGAAGAAACCCTTCCATGGTTACGTTGGCTGTGCCAAGGCGATTGAGGCGCGAGTCTCTGCCACCCAATCCGTGATGAACTCGTGTCCATGGATGAATGATACTAGTGTTACCAAATCCGTCGGGTTCTTCCGTGGGGGGTTGGGGGGGACGACCATCGCTGGGCATTACTTAGCTCTCGTAAGGAGGTATCTTAAACGAGACTCTGAGATACCAGGCGAACTCTCAGATGTATGTTAGTCTTATCCTTAAATAGAAGCTCTGCAAGGATAGACCTTCTTTCCTCTTTTCTCGTGGGACAAACTTAAAACAACAACAACAACTACAAACTTCAAAAATTTAAATTCTGAACATGCGAGTGTTGAAGAGCCCTCTTTGGGGGATCTCAATGCTGGTATGGGGATTACGCTTGGAGCTGGGGTGGGGACCACAGGGGACCCAATCTTGCAACAAGTAGATAGGGTACAGCAACACTTGGGTAACCTTGTCCTTGGGGGCAAGAGACCAAGTGGGGCTGAAATGAGGAGGAGAAGGCGGGATCGAGCTCGGGACCCTCTGAGGACCGGATCGAATACCGCTGGCACCTCTCGGGACACTACTGGGGAGGGCGTCGGGGGCCGGGCTGGCAAAAAGACGGCAGGACTCAGACGAGGCTTCCCCTAATACTAGAATACCGTTAAAAAGGTTAAGAAGTTCACAAGGGGGAACCATATCGTTTGCGGAAAGAACTAGATCGCCATTAGCCGGGACGATCATTGCGGAAAGCTTTCCGAGGGTCTTGATGACGATGGTTAATCTGGACCAATTAAGGGTAGCAATTCATGGTGAGATAGAGGGGGACGAATTAAGACTCTATCCTCACTTTGGAGAGGTTCGCCTTACTAGGGGAGCGATCCTGGTAGAGAGCCTGGACTCAGAATCTAGGGAATAACTAAATAGCCGTATACCTAGGTTTAGTCCGGCGTTAGAGGGTCTTACCATTAAGGTGGTAGATCCGGCACAGATGATCAAGCTGGTAAGGGTTGTGGCTTGGGTACCTGGTCCTAGGGTGAACTAGGCTTCAATCCTTAAAAACCTCGGTAGACAGAATACCGGGGTGGATACTTAGCTGTAGTTAAGGCTAAGTATCTGGAAAAGAACGGAAATAAAAGGGAGGTAGTAATAGCGTCCGCTTATTTTCCGGGATGAACCTGCACCACCTAGAGAGGTGGAGAGGATAGTAGATTACTGTCAAAGGCGAGGGCTCCCTTTGATAATAGGTTGTGATGTCAATGCGCATCATGTCGTATGGGGCAGCACAGACATTAATGACAGAGGCAGAAGACTTTAAGATTTTCTGATAGATACAGATTTAGATATTTTAAATCAGGGTAATGAGACGACTTTCGTTACTGTTAACAGAAAAGATGTGTTGGATATTACGATCTGTTCCAAGTCTTTGTGTGAGGGACTGGAGGGTGTCTGATGAAGATTCCCTCTCGGGCCACAGACTTATTACGTTTAGATTGGAATCGAAAGATCAGGAACATGATGGGGACGTAATCCTAGGAGTACTGACAGGGCTTCAAATATTGAGGACCTCAAGCCCTGCATGGCATACTTCCCCACTTTGTATGGAACGCGGGAGGAGTTAGAGCTTGCAGCGGAATATCTGCGAGATTCTATTGTCTGCTCCTTTGAAAAAAACTGTGTAGTTAAGAAAATGGGCTCCAATGGTGGACCCCCCGTTTGGAGGAACATATGAAAACAGTAAGAAAGCTTTTCAATAAAGCAAAGCAACGTAGGCATCAGAGAGCATGGGATAAATATCATACCGCTCGCGATTCTTACAAAAAAGAAGTAGAGAGGGCAAGGGGTGTCAGCTGGAGAAGTTTTTGCGAGGGAATCGAGAGGGTACCAGAAGCATCAAGACTTCATAAAGTACTAGCTCGTGACCCAATGGCAAAATTAACTACTATTAAGTTGCCTAATGGGCGCTATGCCCAGGATAAAAAGGAGTGTCTAAAGCACCTGATAGAGAAAACTTCCCGGACTTTAGAGAAGGTTTGGAGAACAGCCATGGCGTAGGACCAGGTAGGGACCAAAGCTATCGGGAACACTGAAAACCACCAGCTAGGGTTGTAACTCTTTCAAACCACTTTCAACCACTTTCAAACCACTTTCAAACCATTTAAGGCTTCAGGGAAGAATGGTATATATCCGGCTCTTTTGCAAAAGGGATTGGAGTGTATTAGAGTACCCCTGTGCAAAATTATAAGAGCGTGTATAGCTCTTGGTTACACACCGGAGTCTTGGAAAAAAACGAGGGTTGTGTTTATTCCGAAGGCCGGTCGGTCAGGGACGTCAGGGTATACTGCGGCGAAGGACTTCAGGCCAATTAGCCTAACTTTTTTTACATTAAAGACGTTAGAGAAACTGGTGGATAATTTTATTAGACAGGAATATCTCAGAGATCATCCCCTACATCAGGGACAGCATGCATATAGAACAGGTTTCTTAGTAGAAACAGCCCTCCATTCGGCAGTAGGTAGAATATATTTTAACATAAAAACTCAACAGAAAAAATTCCGCAATAGTAATTTCTTATTGGCCAAAAACCACTCTTTCGAATGGCGTACCAAAATTTTTTATTAATTTATAAATAAACGAATTACATATGTTTTAAAAAAAACATGAAATTTTTAGGTTTTTTTTTTAGTTTTTCCAATTTTAGTACAGGTATTCGTATTAGAACACATCTAAAAGTTCTAAATAACGCATCAAAAATATATTCCCTATCAGATATGGGTATTCCGAAATTTTTTTTTAAATGTCGGACACAAAATGGCGTCTAAAGTGAATTTTTATTTACAATATCGTTTAGTTTAGTTTTGTCAAAGAAATTGCTCATCAAAATTATAAGTGTACGAATTCTGTTCAGGATTACTTAGTTTTCTCTCAACTTCGAGCGGAGTGTAAACTTAAATCTAAACTATGTTATAAAAATTACATGTCTGGTGTTGAGAGCACAATTACTTCGAATCCTAAGAGATTTTGGAAGTTCGTCAACAATTTAAGTGGAAACTCGAGAATTCCGAATGAAATAATATATGGTCCGAATACTGTAAACACTAAAATTGACAGTGCGAATTGTTTTAAAGGGTTTTTTAATTCTGTTTACACACAGCCCTCATTAAATATCTCAGCCTCTGATTTCAGTAAAAATATTAACAATTTTGTTGCTTTAAATCAAATATCAAGAGAAACAATAATGTTAAAGCTTAAAGCGTTGAATATTAATAAGGGTGCTGGCCCTGATGTCATTCCACCCTCCCTTTTGAGATCATGCTGTGCCGCTCTACTTGAACCACTCTATATTTTATTCAATTGGTCTCTTTCTTATGGTGTTTTCCCGCTTGTATGGAAACGTGGAATTGTTGTCCCGGTACACAAAGATGGGGACAAGAAAGAGGTAATTAATTATCGCCCAATTATAATTTTAAGTACTGTTTCTAAAATTTTTGAAAGTATAGTTCATGACGAACTTTACCGTCAAGTTGAGTCGTCAATTATTGAGGAGCAGCATGGTTTCATGAGGGGTAGGTCTGTTTTGACAAACATGTGTGTTTTTTCAAATTTTGTTCTCAACAATTTAGCTAATGGTCTACAGGTTGACGTCATTTATACGGATTTCGCTAAAGCATTTGACAAGGTTGACCATGGAATTCTTCTTGCGAAGCTTGAGGCCCTTGTTTTTTCTGAGAATTTGCTTACGTGGCTTGCAAGTTATCTTGAAAAAAGAACATTATTTGTACGTGTTGATTACGAGTATTCTGATGTTTTTTACCCTACATCTGAAGTTCCTCAGGGCTCGAATCTTGGACCTTTACTGTTTTTACTTTTTATTAATGACATTCATATTTTTAGATTTTGTAAGTTTCTTTTATTTGCTGATGATTTAAAATTGTTTGTACTAATCTCTAATGAATGTGACCATATGCAATTGCAATATGACATTAATCAATTGCAGTTGTGGTGTGAAAAAAATAATCTTTTTTTAAATATATCGAAATGTAAATTAATTTCATTTTCATCATCTTCCAAATTAATTATTTCTAATTATAAAGTTAATGGTATTATATTGTCCAGAGTGTCCATGATAAGTGACCTAGGAATTTTACTTAATGAAACTTTTTCGTACATTGACCACATTATAAATATAGTTAACAAAGCTACTAGAGCCCTGGGTTTTGTCATGAGGAATGCAAAACAGTTTCATAATGTGAGGGCCTTGCTAGAGCTGTATTTT